GACTCTTGGTGGCTCCCTGTGAAAGGGGTTCCCTCCTCTCCCTCCCTGTCTCCCGGTCAGCCCATTTTTATCTTCCCCAGTTCATACTCACGCATCTATGAGGTTGCCTTCCAGTGTACTCTGTCTCTTTTCCTCCCAAACTCCTGTGGTTCAGTGTCCTATGGCTTCAGGCCTTCTCTGAGAGATGGGGGTAAGTGAAATGCATGGAGCTCTCTACTTCTCCGCCATCGTGTCTCCCTCCCTCTCATTCAGCAGATTCTTAACTGAACATCCTAACTTGTCAATCCAAACTTCTGCTTCTTGGTTTCTATATTGTTAGCAGCATATTCATTCACAAAATCAGCCAGTAAAAACAAATGGACAGAGTCAGAATCATCTTTGATCTTGTGTCTTTTTTTTACTTTTGAAATATATCTTGTCATCAGGATTGCTAGATAGGTGATGCTATCATCATGGAGTCAGAGCTCTAAACTTATCTCTGCATCCACAGGAAGACATAGTGAGAGGAAAGGTGCTATCGGCCCAGGGACTTAGGTCACTGCAGTTCCTCTCTGGTAAAGCTGACCTGGCCTTTAATGTGGTAGAAGAAGTCCTCTGATAGGTCTTCGTAACCATGAAGGAAAGATGGCATCATCTAAAACAGCCTTGTACTACATGCAAAGCAGGTCTCCTGTTTTTGGGTCTTATTTTGTAGTGTTTGGTTTCTTTAGAGGAAACTTAGGCAGAAAGCCAAAGCTGACCTCAGTGAATGAGGTTCTCAGAGACCAGATCTGTCTGTGAGGATGCAACACCCTGGTGGCCGAGGTTGATGCAAAGAACTGCCCTGGTGGGTACCCTCTGCATCTCCACTCTCACTGCTCATGGAAGGAATCATTCTTTATTGATTTTTCACTTGAACTACAGAATTTCCATAGAATTTCTGTACAACCTCCCCATCACTACTTCCTAAATTCTTACACAGAATTGAAAAATATAAAATGAGTGGATGTTGGAGCTTCTCTGAGGCAAGTAGGAGGATGAAGCTGGAGCCATGCCACTTGGGCCCTCCCACAACCTCAGGGAGCCACCTGCCTCCTGGGCCCCATAGAACCCAGTCTGAAAATCCCTTATCCTGGAATTATTCAGCTCTCTACTGCTGCTCCTGACTTTGGCTGCTTCCAATTTTGTCTTTCCTGGACATGGATTCCAAGAAGCCCTCCAAATTGCACAAAGTTAGCTGGCCAGCCCTCTCCTGAAAAGTATTTGAGGAAGCTCGATTGCCCTTTGTGTGATTGCAGCTGGCTCACCTTCCCTGGTCACCATCCCTGAGCTCCTGCCTTACCTTCTACCTGCTGGCACATTACCAAGTCTTGTTGGCATGATACTACAAGTGGCCGGGGAGGCTCCCTAGTGACTCTTCCTGGCTGCCTGTTCACATTCTTTCAACGCAAATAATGCTTCTAGGCTCAGCTCCAAACTCCTTGCCATGAATGTCATATTCTCTACAAGGTTTGTGAGAACTTGTTCCTTGGCTGGTGTCATTGCTTCCACTGGTGTCAATGCTCTCAGCATCTCTCTATTTGCCTATACTGTTCTCCTCCTGAACAATCTTCTGCCATCACTCCAGGCTGGGCAGGAGACTCTTTGCAGTGTGATCATAAAGACTGGTCCACATGTGTGTTAGGCAATTACCAAATAATACTGTTGACTTTCTCTCTGTAGGTTTGTGTGTTGTACTCAGTCATAAGCCTACATATGCAGGACCCAATGGCTCACCTCAAGCTGTCTTTTGCTCCACCTGAATCTGACTAACTTATATATGTTTCTTCCACTGTCTGAAAGCTCCTCCTTGCCAATATAAATTATTTCCATGGTCAGCTCAACTCCAAAATCTATTCCTTCTTTAATAAAGCTTTATTCAGCAAATCTAAGAAAGAATTATTGATTGAATTGAATTTGGTGGACCATTTCATTTTTCTACAACTCAGAAAAACACCATATTTTTCTCTTGTTGCTTAGGTGTAAATATGCATTTGTCCATCAGGTCAGGAATATACAGTTGAGTATGGTGGCTACCTATTGCTGCATAACTTGTTATCCTAACAGTGAGTTAAAATGACACATTTCTTGTCTCATAGTTATATGGTCAGAAATCCGGGCATGATTGGCTGGCATCTCTGCTCCAGGATTTCTCACAGGCTACAAATGAGGCCATACCTGCAGTCACCTCAAGGTTTGACTAGAGGGGATCCATTTCTAGTTTGTGTTTGTGACTTGGTTCTTCACTGGTTGTTGGATTTGGGCCTTTGCCATAGCCTCTCTCAGTTATTACCACACCAGCCTCTCCATAGGGCAGCTGGTTTTATTAGAGAGAAGCCAGAAGGAGAAAGTGAGGAAAGAGGGAAGGAAGGGAGGGTGGAAGGAAGGAAGGAAGCAAGCGAGCAAGCAAAGGAGGCAGGGAGGAAAGAAGGAAGGAAGGAAGATAAGAAGGGTGGAAAGGAGCAAGGAAGATTGGGGGAAGAGAGATAAGGTGTATAAGAGGCAAATTTTTATAATCTAATCTGGAAGTCATACTCCATCACTTATGACATATTCTGTTCTGCAGGAGCATACCATTAGGTCCAACCCACAGGAAAGGTGGGGATATCCTCAAAGGCTGGAATGTCAGGAAGAGGAGATATTTGGGAGCCATTTTAGAAGTTGGCGACCATACAGCTGCTTTGAGTTGGTCCCTGTGCTAGGAGCAAAACTAGATGCAGCCTCTGAAATCAAGGTGATAAATCTTATAAAGTATAGTAGTCATGAATTTGCATAACCACTGAAACAGATTATTGTACAAGTTGAGGTGAGCAACTCTGAAAGTGATGTTATAACAGAGCTGACCTGGATCGGAGATCATCAGAAGATTCCTTTAGGAACTTGTGAGATTTTAAGAGATAAGTTGAGTCTAACCAGGGGAGAAGGTGGTGGAAAGCTTAGGGTTGGTGTCAGGGCATCCTAAACAGAAAGAACAGCAGGCACAAAGGGCTCATGCTTGGTGCTGCATGGAACATTCCAGACACTCAAGAAGGGCAAAACATTTCACCAGCTCTGAACAAAAGAACAAACTCGAGAAAGTTGCTACTTTATGCTCCATCCTTATTGGTTTGCATTCAGCCTAATAGTTCTTTATCCATTTCTTCTTTCTGTAGTGCTCCTAGTGTCTACTGCAAGATAAACTATTTGTAATGAATGAGGTGATATATGCTTTGGCAACAATCAATTTAAACAGCTTTCGGCTAGAGCACAAAACCATAAATCTGCTAAAATTGCTGGGTATCGGGGGATGTCAGCCGTCACACTTCTTTGTTTTATCAGAAGCAGATGTGCATTCAGTGAAAGAAAAAAGAGAAGGGAACTAGCATCTACTGAGTTCCCAGCACTCACCAAACAATTTACCCAAATTATCTCATTTATTCCTTACAGAGCCCCATGAGGTCAGTATTACCAGCATCTTTTCAGAGACAGGGAACCAAGTGCAGTTAGACCCTGGCCTGAGACCCCTGCCCAGGTCTGCCCACTCCAGGCACAGTGTGTACTCTGCAGACTGGCTTTCCCTTCACTTTACAGCAAACCTCCATCCTCACAAATGGGCCAATTAATTCTAAGTGTACAGAGAAACCCTAGCTAACTTTGGAGCAGAGTTTCGATGTCTTTGTAAGCAAATGGTGATGTTAATTATGTTTTCTGTGTCAATGCAGTGGAGAAGGGGTTGTGGATATTAGCTTGACTCGAAAACTATAGAAAGTTCAGAGCTTAGAATGATGACAGGGAGCAGGGAGGCATGTCCTGAGTCCTTTTATTCTTAACAAATTATTTCTTCTTTCTTAGTGTCTCTGTGGCATGTTTCTGTATTCTCCAGCAGTGGGAAACAGCCATGAAACTTCCTTTGCTGTGATTCTAACCTCCATACACCCTGAACTGCAAACCAAAGACTGGCAAGGAAACAGGGTATATATAAAGGTGAGGGAGACAGGCCACATGTGTTTATAATACATGTTGTTTCCTCATCAGTCTTTGGTTTGCAGTTTCATATTATAGGAGAAAACTAATCCTTCATACTTATTTTGTTCTTTAATATATTGATAGGAAATTCTTTGAATTCCAAATTCAAAGTCACCTCATGCTTTATTGTTCTTGGATATGAGAGAAGTGTTTTTTGGAGGTTATAAAGTAGGCCCATGATTTTATAATATTATTTGGATCCAGGAATGGAAGAGAAGATTCATTATACCTTTGTCTTTCAGCCTTCTTGTGAAGGTAGAATATCATCAGACACCTCTGCAGCTCACAAATACTTATAATAATATGATGTCTTCAGGAAGAATTATAAACAAACTCAGCTGTTAATCATGGCTATACCTATATGTCTTTCTTGTTTTGTATATTTTGTTTAAAATCTTTCTTCAGTGACTTCTCTTTAAAACTCTGAGACAGTAAAAGACAACATAGGATAATGTCTTCAGTGGGACCATATGGTATCAGTTGCTTACTCAGCTAGTTGCATAACTGTTCATGCTTGCTTGCTTTCCAGAGACAAACCACCACACATTCATTTAAAATCCAGCATACTGGACATCATTAGGTGGTTGTGCTCTGAAGGAACATTGTGGGGTCAAGTGTCTATGTACTCAGTGAGACTTTCCAGTCTTGTGTTTCTTACATCACCAAGATCCCCGATGATTAAAAAGTCCAGAGGTGCACACTTATGTAAAGGATACATAGCATCCTCACAGGTCATCATGATTATCTGCAGACTCACTGAAGAACAATCAGGCCCAGTGCCTCCATTACTGTAGTTCTCAGGCACTGCCTGTCATTTTGATGAACAAAGATGTGTCCATAGCCTGGCTTAGAGGGAGCCCCAACATCATATCATAAGTAATTATACAAATCAGGTATGTATTCATGATTCTTCATTCTTATATGTCTGTTGCACTTGAAAACATTCAGCTAAAGGACAAAGGCAGTTCCATTTACATTGACATGAGCCATGATGTCCATTGGTTTCTTAGGCTTTATTGTATGGGCACACCACATGTTTACAGTTCCAATGATTGAATATGGAAAAGGAAATTTTCAATACTTGAAACATATTTGGCAATACACAGATTCAAGTTTTTCAAATTTATACTTCACAAGCATCCTTAAAAAACATTTTTAGCTATGGAGGGTCAGGATCAGTCTCTGTTTTAAAAGAAACAAGCTGGAAATATTATTGAACCTGCTGTTGGGCTGCTACTGACTTTGATGATCTGGGAGAGGCACTGTAAATCTATTTGTGGGCTAAAATTGGAGTCAAGATGGATCACCTCAACCTAGGAGACAACACTTAATTGTACACTTTATCTTTATTTGTATCTATTAGGTTTTAATCAGAGGTCATTTTGCTAAATGTTTTGAACCGGAATAAGAATTTAATTTGTGAAACAACTGAATTACAGAAAATTAGAGAATCCAGTGAATAGGGGTCCAAGCAAATGAATCGAGAAAAGCTCATTTATATTTAGCAAAGGGATAGTGCAAACAGGGTTATAACCTGGGAGGACTGAGGTGACATCCTGGCAGGGGCGAAGTGGGGCCCCACCTGGGGGGTGAGGATTCTGCTCCAGCCTGGGAGAAGGCTCTGACAAGGGGCCTGCAGATGACTGCCCAAGGGCTGCATCCCCACTGCCCCTGGGAGTAAAGTTTATGCCTCTCAGGTGCTCATTACCCTGCTGAGGGCCTGGACACCAGCCCTCTCTCTCTTCCTGAGAGTGGGTACTGACACGGTTTCAGAGCCAGTGCATCCTCTGATACAGAGCCTTTGGACTTGGAGCAGGTGGAGATCAGAATCTCTGGGAAAACCTCATATACTCCAAGTGCCAGGCCCAGAGCAGACCTTGGGAGCAGATGACTAAACAGATATATGTTTAGAAAGGCCACAGGGAGTTAATCTAGCTATAGCAGTGGAGTCTCTGGGAATGTGCCCTGGAGAGCAGAGGAGGCTGCAGGCTCAAGAGAGTCCTAGTGAGTGTGGCCTCTCCTTGAAGACTGCAGGCAAGGTCACTAGAAGCCCAGTTCTTTCTGTTCCCCCACCCAGTCCCATGGTAGTAAACATGAGGAGTTTAGCTTTCTGAGAAATCGATGCAGTTTACAGTCTCCTAAGACTGCCATTCATGCTAATATAGAATCATGAAATCATAACATCAATTGGCTTCCTGAGAGCTGGCATTGTAATTCTCCTTTAAAGAGAAAGATATCTTCCTCCTAAATGGTCATCTGATACCTTGAATTTAAATATACCCCTGGAGACTAGACGTGGGGTGTTAATCACTGTTGCCATGAAATGACTTATGTGCTTGCCACTTAGTGGCACCCCTAGGCTCAGAATCTGCCAGCCAGGTAAAGCTCAAGCCCTGGGATTAGCTCAGAGCGTTGGGCTCTGTCCTTCCAATACCTGCCTCCTCTGGTTGTATCTCCCCCGTCCCTCTGCTGTGCCAAAACCATGCATATCCAACCTCAAGACATGTTCCTTCTAACTCTCTGTCCCATATATGTACAAAATTTATATCTCACCTCCTAAACATCTTGATGAAATGGTCCATTTCCCCCATCTGTCTCCTTCTCTACTTTATTTTATGACTCTTGGGATTCTTCTGGCATAGTCAGTTCTCTGACTTTCCCCCATGAGCCTCAGGGCCCCTGCACCCAGTGGTCATCATAGTCCAGGCCCTGTATACCTTTGTGGGGCAGATAACCTATTGGAGGAGGTCTGCACTCAAATAGTAGAGAAAGAACACAGAAGTCAGAGACTAGGAAGTCAGAGAATGATGAGAAACACCAAAGGCAAAAGCAGCTACATGGGTGAGCACCTATGCAGGCACACAGTAAGAAAGACACAAGGTGCATGCATGGGTTTAAGGTTCTTGTGTCATGATCTTCACATTTTTTATTAATTTTTGACGAGGAGACCTTGCATTTTTATTTTGCACTGGGCCTCCCAGATTGTGGAGGCAGCCCATCATCCAGTGAATCTGTACCTTAAAGTAGTAGGTTTATTTCACTTGACATGGTTACACAGCCTGTAATCCCACAAATCAGAGCATCACCTGTGCAAAATATTTTGCAGTTATACAATTTCAAAATCTTCTAGAAAGACCTGCTACCTAGTGGCTATTCACACAATATCAGTGTCTTTCAATTTTTTTAATTTTTATTTATTTTTAGAGACAGAGAAAGCATGAGAGGAAAGGAGCAGAGAGAGAGGGAGACACAGAATCTGAACCAGGCTCCAGGTTCTGAGGTTTCAGCATAGATCCTGACACAGGGCTCGAATCCACAAACCGTGAGATCATGATGTGAGCCAAAGTCAAGTGCTTAACCAACTGAGCCGCCCAGGTGCCCCTCCAATTTCTAATCTTCTATTTTCTAATTTGCAGCTCATTTCCTTCCCAGATGCTTTACCAATCACTCACCTGAATTGGGGACCAACTATAAAAGTTTAAAGCCACACACATGGTTGGTTGAGATACCTGCACAGTGCACTGAAAAGATAGAGATAAGGGCAATTGTCAATCATGGAATAAGACAAATCAGAGTTCACATTCTAACTCTGTGATATTAGAATTAAATATCATGCTCTTATTTCCATATTTGAAAAGTAGACACAATAAAACATCAATCATATAAATTTATAATTATACCAGATATTGAATGTATATATGTATAATTAATTCCTTAACTAGTCACTATTCCTTCAAAGAAAAGTAAAAAGGATGAGTGAAATATGCAAATTGCTAGAACTAAGGAGAGCTGGGTGTGTAGGAGTTTTAGTTGGGAGTATGGCGGGAAAGTGAAGTCTGGAAGGCAGGGAGTCCAGGAGTGACTATATCCAGGACTCTTGTGTGCCCTCCCTAAGTCTCTGTTTTGTATTTGTTAAACTCTGTTATAGATGGGTTGATTGTGAGTTAATGAGGTAATTATTACAGGTACTTGCAGTGCTCTCTGACATATATTGCATGAAACCTGGAATAAGTGAGTTCCTCTCTCTTGTTCTGAGATGGGCCTTTTCAAAAGCAGAGATGAAGCAAGAGTATTTTGGAAGAGTAAGATGATTTAAATGTAATTTGTGGTGTATTTGTTTATTCTAGTACCTGTATATATTGCAGATTCTTAAGTGAGATTTGTCTCTATAATTGGTATGAACTCAAATAACATCCATTTGTGCTTGGATAACACAGAAGGAGATTAGCTTTAGAAAAAAAATGCACTATTTTATTTCTGTATGCAAGAATGAATTTGCATTGTACTCTTTCCTTCTCTTTATGCTCTTACATGAGAGGCTCTACCTCTTAGCCCTATAGATCAGCAGCGTTGACTTCACATGACACTCCATCCTATCCCCTGGAACAGGGGTAGGCTCAGCCATAACATAAGCCCTGAGAGCTCCAGCATGAGCAGGCTTCTCCATCTGGGCTATGTTGGCACATTGTTTCCTCCACCCATTTCCTTGGAGGGGATGTATCATTCCATCCTCCTGCTGTTCTTAGGATAAATCACTGTCTTACAGTGATTCTTAAGAGGATGTATGGATTTCACTAACAGTAAAACTGTTACTAACCAAGAAGAGAAAGATTTCCTCAGATTAAGTACACAAAATAATGTAGATTTGCTGAGTTAAAACTCCAAGATTCAGACTTCTTAGTGTTGATTATTTTCATACTTAAAGTGTTTTATTTGCAAATTGACATCAATTATACAAGGTTTTCCTATTTAATTGTAATATTTTATCATCTAGTTGTTCATTTAAACAAATTGTAAGATAATAGTTTATAATTATAATGAAATTGTAATCTACTATAGTAATAAAATATTACTACTGGTTAATAAATTATGTATTATAATATTGGTAATAGTGTATATAAGTAATTTTATTACAACATAATATTTAATATAGTGATTCTACTCTTCCAAGTTTGATATTTATTAATTCATATGAAGAAGTTAAGACATTTATTTGTCCACCATGTAGGATGAAAGAAAAATGATTCAAATATTGTTAAATGTCTATTTTTAGCTGTTGATAATTTCTAGGAAATAAATGCTGCACAAAGTCTAGGTGCAACCAGATGCATTTAGGCAGTAGGATGCAACCCACAAATTATGTACACTTATTATGTGCATTTTTCTTCCTACCTGTCCCCTAAATTCGATAGGCTTCCAAAGCTGCTAAATCTTGACAGCTACAATTGTTGATTCTCCTGACTTTAATCACTCTAGGTAAATGATTAGACCTGCATCCCCCATTCTTAGATGTGCTTGTGGTTTTAGAACTTCAGAAAAAATCTGTTCATTTTAGTCAGAGTTATGCAGGGAAATAGATACAATAGAAGAGAGAGAGAGAGAGAATGAGCCAATTCTCCGGACTGGTTCACATGATTATGGAGGCTGCAAAGTCCCATAATCTGTCATCTGTAAACTAGTCATCTAGGAAAACTGGTGATATAGTTCCAGTCTAAATTTGAGAACCCAGAGCACTGATGTTACAGGACAGAAGATGGATGTCTCAGTTTAAGAAGAGAGTAAATTCACCCTTCTGATACATTTTTGTTCTATTGAGACCCTCGATGAATTGGATTGTGCCCACCTGCATTGGTGAGGGTGGATCTTCTTTACTTAGCCTACAGTTCATAAGATAATCTTTTCTGGAAACACCCTCAGAGACATACCCAGAAATAGTGTTTTACCAGGTATGCGGCATCCCTTAACCCAGATAAGTTGACATGTGAAATTAAGCAACACAAAGTTTCATTGATTTTATTTTTTATTGAGGCCATATCCTCCTAAAGTACATCCAAAGTACAAACTAGTGAATTGGCAATTATTTTTTATATAATGATTTAAGAAAATGCTACTCTTTTGAATAATATCTGTCACTTTGTCTTATTTCATTTGGTGACAGAGGGGAAACATGAAAATGTCATGTCTGGTAGGAACAAAGGGTTATTGCCTTGTTTTGCCCTAAGGAGACTCCTAAGATGGACCAACCTTGCTCTTTGTCTCCTGACGTAGTGGATCATTTTGATCATAACACCTCTGGCTGTCTTGAGAAGAAGTTTCTCACTGCCTTGTCTCATATGGAGACTCAGCCCTCAGGCTTTGGGGCCTTAGAATGTAGAACTTGAGGGAATGAGGAAAAACTCAACATTCTGTAGTCCAACTGTGGAGGATAAAATCCTGGTTAATCATAAAAAATCCCAAGTGTGTGACACATCATTTCTCTTGTAAATTCTTAATAAATCATGCCAGTGCTCCTGAAATCTCCATATAGCAGACCACTTTGTTCTTATTGTTTCCACAACAGAAGAAATCTAATGTCAATAAAAGAATTATTGAAAATATTTAGCAAACAGATTAACCAATATTTTTTAAATGTAATATATATTTTTGTTAATAGTTTTAAAAATCTAAATAAAATGGACAATTTGTGGGAAAAATAAATTATAAAACTTATACCCAAGGTAAAACATTACAAAAGTTGTCAAAGAATTTTCTCCAAACAAGATGTCAGAGCCAAATCCAAGTTTTTAAGATTTTCTCAGAATCATTACTCTCAAAATTCCTTGTAATGCAACTTTATTTTGTGGTGACTGTACTGTGACTACTGTAATCTTAATTCAGAAAGCTAGTGAGGACAAGAAAGTACTGCACACCAGGAGTATATAACGAATATAGATCAATCTCAACACAAAAGGCAATGCTTGCAAAGAAAACTCTGTATTACATTGAGAGTACCTTCTTCAGATTCCAGGACTTCTTGGAAAGTTGTAAGGTGGTTTTGCATCAAAGGAGATGCAGCAGTGCAAATGTCTAAGCTGAGAGACAAAGAATGAAACACTTGTAATCATTGAGGTTGACTACAAAAACCGGAGTGATAAATACTGTTCCCTTTCTGTGGTGACTTGAACTTTCACATCCCACCCCTTGTGGGATGATTGTCAGCCATAAAGCAATGGTATCAGACCTGTACATGAAGCTGGGCAAGTTTTGGTAGATTACAGTCTATGGGCCAGATGGAACCAAGATTGTGTGTGTGTGTGTGTGTGTGTGTGTGTGTGTGTGTGTGTGTGTGTCTTTTTCTCTCTCCTCCTTCTCCTCCTCCTCCTCCCTTCTTCTTCTTCCTTATTTATTGTTTCTCCTTCTAACCTAAGCCTTTACATTTTTAAAAGATTGTAAAAAAGAAAAAGAACAGCAGTACCAACAGCACCAACCAAACTTCCCAAACAAAAGAGCAATGTGCGATAGATTCTGTGTCCTTTAAGCCTGAAACTTTTGACCTCTACATCTTTACAGAACAGAATTTTATGACACCTGCTCTAGAGGCATCCTTAGCTTTCTGCCTTTATTATTATTATTTCTTTTTTAGTATTTGTTCATTTTGAGAGAGAGAAAGAGAGAATCCCAAGTAGGCTCTGTGCTATCAGCAAAGAACCCCATACAGGCCTTAATCTCATGAACCTTGAGATCATGACCTGAGCCAAAATCAAGAATTGGATGTTTAACCAACTCAGCCACTCAGGCTTCCCTTTGCCTTTATAATATAACATTTTTTGGATGTTAAGATCAATCAATAAAAAAGTTACATCAACTATTGAAAAATTTGAGGAAATTAATTCTAAAATTATTACTTGCTAATGAATATATAATATATTTAGGAAACGAAAAGGAGACAGTGGAAAAGTTAGATGATAGAGGTTATTTAAGATTTAAATATGAAAATAAAAGTATTCTCAAAAGTCAGTAAGGAAAAATAAACCTTCATCACACCAGAAGTGCCGGGGAAATATTTTGTAAAGTTTATTTATTTTGAGACAAAGAAAGAAAGCATGAACAGGGGTGGGGCAGAGAGAGAGAGAGTGAGAGAGAGAGAATTCTAAGCAGGCTCCACACTGTCAGTGTGAAGCCCAGTGCTGGGCTCAACCTCACTAACTATGGGATCATGACCTGAGCTGAAGTTGTCACTTAACCAACTGAGCCACCCAGGCATCGTTGGGAAACATATTTGTAAAAAAGTATACAAGAAAAGAATCACATAGGGGCGCCTGGGTGGCTTAGTCGGTTAAGCGTCCGACTTTCGCTTAGGTCATGATCTCGTGGTTCGTGGGTTCGGGCCCCGCGTCGGGCTCTGTGCTGACTGCCAGCTCGGAGCCTGGAGCCTGTTTCAGTCTGTGACTCCCTCTCTCTCTGACCCTCCCCTGCTCACACTGTCTCTCTCTCGCTCTCCTAGAAATAAATAAAAAACATTTAAAAAAAAAAAAAGAATCACAAATAGGTAATAAAGATCCAAAACAATTATTAAATCAGTAATCAAAGGAATTACTTATTTACAAATATATACTGACTGCCTTCTCTGGATCAGGCATTGTTTCAGGTGCTGAAATAAAAATTAACCAAAATTCACCTTGAGAATTAGCAAAGATGTTCTCAAAGGTGATAACACAGTACGTGGAAAGAGGTGAGATGTTTTATTGAGTGTTGGCAGTAGAATAATGCTGGGGTTTATGGGATGCAATTCTAAGAAGCCCCCACTTGGAAGTAGAACATGTCGCATCTGCTAGCACATTATGCATGGGCTGAATGGTAACCCCAAAGCCCCACCACAGAGGCATCCACTGCAAACAGGAAAAAAGTAGATGTGCAGGGTGGGAGAGGTGAGTGAATTAGTTGTTTTTATTATTTTTTTCATATTTATTCTGTGATAAATGAAATTCTCTGGATTTTCAAGAATGGTTCTAGCATGTTATTCTGCATTCTTTTACTGACTCCTCCTAAGTCCCAAAACTTGGATCATGAAAAAGCAACAGTAGATCATCCAGTTCCTGTATATACAAGTGCTTGAACCTTCCTCAAAGAACCATGCCATAAGAAGGTAGGACATTTTTCCCACTTTCCAGACCCTGTACTTTTCCTTGCTTATTTTTAAGTATTGAGGATCTAAAGAAAGAATCTAGAGTAGACAGTGTTCTTCTATATCCATTGTCCAAATGGAAAAATAAAACCATCCAGCAAGAAAGACCCTTGCTGTCTTGAAGCATTGAGTACTTGGATCTTTTTTTTTTTTCCCCATCAGATTTTTTTGTTGGTGTTCTTTTCAAGGCCGTCCTTCCCTCATACCTGGGAGCACATGGACATCAGCTGATCTATGAGAAATGCTTCAGCTTTCTGTACCCTGCAGTCACTGAGAACGTGAATAAAGATGTTTTCCAATTGGGTCTTTTGCATAAACCCAGTTAGGACAAGTAATCAGACAAAGATTTTATGGGGTTAAATAATTTCTACTCTTATAGTTCTGGTAGAGAATTTTTTTAATCTAATTAACAAGAAGACTTCAACACCTATTGTTATTTATGCTTTTTGGTTTTTAGGAGAAAATGGCAAATAAATAACCAGAATGTCACAGATTTATTAAACCAAAAGGATTCCAGAGGATATGTCATGGAATCATTTGAAGTTCGCTTAGCTGTCTGTGCCTTGTACATTTACCAGGCTGCACAATCCTAGAAGTTTCAAAAGATCAGGCAGCAGAGAACACTGGTGATGGAGAAAGTGAGCCTTCCTTTCCATATTATCCTTAATGCTCCCTTTGGGCATGGCTTTCATGCCATCCCTATGTAAAAATGTGTCATTGTTTTAAAGGAATTTTACTACATACGAATTCTTTGGAAATATACAATATTGGTTGGTAGGTATAAGACAATATTGTTCAAGATATTTTCCATTTAATCCAAACGCAGAAAAACCAAGCTTACTTGCCTAAAAGAAGTCCTAGAGACAAAAAATAAAAAAGAAGTTCCCAGATATGTCCAGAATGAAAGTCATTACATCCAGCTTCCACTGCAGTGCCAAGAGGCCTTTGCTGTATTGTGCCCTGTGCAGTCAGATTTGTTGCATGGCATGAGGGCTCATGACATCAACTGGGGAAGCTTTTTATTTACTCATGTTCATGGTGAATTTTAGGGATATTTCCCAAAGCCAAAGAGGCATGGAGATTCTTACAAACAACTGTAAGGAAAAAGCCATGGACTTTTATTGAAGAGTGTGTTATTCTGCTCCATCTCTAAAGATGGCCTTTGAACTTAGTTTTATCTTATTCTATTTCCATAATGACTCAAAATGTTAAGACATCAGATCACATAGGTCTTCAGTATGCCATAATAGAACAAGAGAGATGCTGATTTCTGCTAGGAAATCTGGTATCCAGGTTTAGCCTGCATCTGAGAATTAGACAGAGGGTGGTTAGAGTCTATACCCAGACAGAGCTGTCCTCAGTTCAGTGGGATTACAGATGGCAGAATCTGACCGAATAACTATGGATAAGGTAAAGACTTTTGTGTATGCTTTTTCCTTTAAGCTTTAGATGTATGCTTTAAGGTGAAAAAACTCAGCATAAGTCTGAATCATTTCATTTCTCAATTTGACTAAGTTCTGAGAAATCTATTGAACAGGAAGTGAGCTATGCTATGTTCTCCCAGAAGTTACAGTAGGTCTGCATTTTGAAAATTAATTTATGAATCCCAAAGTTTCTGGCTACAAGCCCATTTCTGGTCAGTTGTTTCACTCTGTTGCTGTCAAAGTACTTTAAAAAAATCAAATTGCTGTCATGGAAACTGAAAGCCACCATCTCATATCTAATCAGAATACTGTAGAGATTGCTATCTCATTTTATCTTTGTAGTTATGAAGGCTAATTTAGTCTCTTACATTCCAGTATGTTCATTGACCTGTTCTAAAGTGGTAAGTGATTAACACTAAGTCTGTAACCATCCACTTTGTATAAAATGAATTTGCTTCTTAACTGCTTTTGTATTACCACAAAGTCTGTGACAAAATTTGTATTGTATGCTATTATATTTATCCTCCCCCCACACTTTATTGAGATATAACTGACACATAACACTTTATAAATTTAAGATGTACAGTTATTTTATTTGATACATTTAAGAATTGCAAAATGTGGGCGCCTGGGTGGCTTAGTCGGTTAAGCTCCAACTTTCGCTTAGGTCGTGATCTCGCGGTTTGTGGGTTCGGGCCCCTCATCGGGCTCTGTGCTGACTGCCAGCTCAGAGCCTGGAGCCTGTTTCAGTCTGTGACTCCCTCTCTCTCTGACCCTCCCCTGCTCACGCTGTCTCTCTCTCTCTCTCTCCTAGAAATAAAAATAAAACATTAAAAAAAAAAAAGAATT